GCTCGCCACTCGAATTAAGCTTATCGTGCGTCCCAGTCCCTCGCGTGACACGCGTGCGTCGTGGCCGGCGAGCGGGAGCGAGACGGAGAGAGAAATGTCACGGTTACGATTGAATATTTATAACGAGGCCGTGTTACCGTTCTCGCGTCGAATCTCGCCCTGGGAAAATACGCCCCGTAGAAACTCTATTACAACGTCGTCGTTTATTTATGTACCATTAAAACTTATAACGGAACTTTTCCTTCCGTGGCCTGGCCACCATGTAAGAACTGTCAGAACTTCGTCCCGCGACATTATGAAATTACTTGTCCGCTCTCGTCGAAAAGCGTGCCGCGATCCCCGCGTACAAGAACAAACTTAAGAACCCCGTTGTGCGGATGTGATTAAAAACTTTATCGCGCCGCGTAGAGGCGACAGTTCGTCGCGCTTCCTCGTTACGTGCCAGATTTTATCAATCGAATTTGTAAACCACACCTCTTTTCTCCATGTAAACGGAGTGACACTGAAACGAATCGAAGGAAACGTGTCGTTTCTCGGGAATATCTTAATGGAAAGGATATCTCAATGGAAGTTTTTTTATTCGCGATAGACGTGACGATGATTCGATTGAATCGCGAAGATATCACGTTTTGACGAGTGAAGATGAGTGAAGGGTGGTGTAGGTGGTGTGTCGGTAGTAGGCTCGATGTGTCACTCGCGAGGTTGATCGAAAAGTACCGAGGGGATGCACCGAGCGGCCAGTCGTTTTGCGAGCTACTGACCACTCGCAGTTGCATCCGCTGCACGAGATGCATTCACACACACATGCGATCATCTCGTCACATACTGCACCCAACGAGAACGAGGGAATCCGCACGATGGAGCGAACACTTGCCCGTAATTCGATTTCTCAGATTAACTTTGTTGCGTGCTCAGATATTATCAGCTTCTCTCTCTCTTTCTCTTCTCGAGATAAAATTTTCTAAAATTTACGAAACGATTAACTGTTTCGAGGAAATTTGGATCAACGAAAATTACATCGAAATTCAAAACGATCGAAGATTCGTTGAATTACGAAGGATTATTTTATTTTCGAAATTTACACTTTCGAGGCGATTTCTTTCAAATCGATTTCCTCGATTATTAATCAATTTAATCGTTTTATCGCGAATAAAAAATCCACTTTCCATTCGACGAATATATATTCGGTCTATCCGAGCCGCGTGCAACTATTTTTTCCGACCGAAACGTCGTATAGTCCCGTAACGACTAGTGGACCTCACCCCTTTCGCCTCGTCTTTGAATAATTTTTTTCTCTCTTTCCCTCTCGCCGCCTCGCCCCACCCTCCTCCCCATGAGTCTCCTGGTACGAACAAAGGCCTGGAATAAATACAAATAGCACTTTCGAACAACGGCCAACGAGGTCTCCGCCTATGGCGTTGTCTATCAACCGGCCCCCGTCCTCTCCCGTTCTTCCTCCTTTTTTTCTTTCATTTGCTATTCATTTTCTCACCGGTGCATCGCCCGTGTGCGACCCTTTATGCGTCTCACGGAGACGTTTCGAGAGGGAGAGGGAGAGAGAGAAAGAGAGAGAGGGGGGGGGAGGGGAGAGAAAGAGAAGAGAATCTCTATAGGTCGTACGCGACAGATCCCCACGCTATAATTGGCTTTCTCCGGCGTATCGATATTGCATTATGCTTGCTGATTAGCATACTTACCTCTCTCTGAAGATCTCTTTCGTCACGCGCATAACCATCAGGTACGCGAGAGTAAAGGGTCCTCGGCCTTTGCCGTGATCGGTGACTTGTCTCGGATGGAAATCGACGTTGGTGAAAATCTTTTTTTACGAGTTTTATTCGTTGGAGTTATATATCTGTTTAGAAATGCAAGTTTTATTTGGATTTGAAGTGTTTTTTTCTTTTTTTTTTTCTAATCGCGAGAATCGCTTGGAAAAATTTATAATTGGATAAGTGTTGAAACGTGGAAAATGAATCATTTTGCGTGTGTCAAAAGTATTGGAAATTTGGAAATTAATTTTGAATTATATATGAAACTTGGTGAAGATTCAAGACGATCGATTTTAAGTTTCTTTTGATTAAGTTAATGTATATAAAACAATAAATGATTAAACGTAGAATTAAAAATTGTTTTAATCATGTGAATTCTGATTATATAGATATAATATTTTTTTTAAAGAATTTTTTAATAATCCGTTTTACAAATTAATAGAAATATTTATCTTTTAAGTATTTGTTATATAGATATTTGTAGATAATTTTTTCTTTTTTCTATTTAACGATTAGAATTTTCTTTAATTCAATTAGTTGAATAATATTTGATCAGATAAAAATTGCATTCGAAACAATTTTTATTATTAAACGTTCGATTTATATATTTTTATTGTTATTTTTGTTTTCTGGATTGTTGCTTTTTTGCGTTTCTGTTTTATGCAAATCGAATATGGGATTATGGTGCCAGGGACGGCTGTACTTTTGCCAGCCAGACCTGGTTTTGAATAATTCCCCTAGAACCCAATGTCACGGTGTCACCTGGGTGAATGAAATCCGAACAACCATGAGAGAGAACGAGACGTTTGAAATTATGTTCAAACTGTGACGAAAAACATTCTTTCCTATTAGTTATGTTCTTCAAACAATACCGTATTGTTTCTATATTTTTAATAAAATGTAGATTTTTATTTAATAAAATATTCTTTATTTTTAATAAATTTTTAACAAATTAAAATTTGCATAAATATTCATGATCTCTAATTCCATGCTCTAAACAAATAACAATATTTTCAAAAAAAAAGATCAAAAAAGTTTCCCAAATAAATAATATAATTCACAAGAAATGGACAAGAAATTCCATTAACAATTGAAACCAGATTATTCGTGCAACACCTTCCAAAGATTCCTTTCTTCTTGGCTAAGAATTCATTCGATGCAATTTAATGAATATCAATGCACGTATTATTTCTGAAAATGATTGCACATCTCTGGTCCCGAGGGTCTCGTGAATTCTTCCTATACACCGTCATAGGGACCGAACCGAAAGTTAATTTTGCACGAATAAGAAAGCATCGGTGAGGGGGAGGGGGGTATCCGTCAATGACTTTTAGAAGGGGAAGGAAAAAAAAAAAAAAGAAAAAGAAAAAAGAAAATCGTACGGTTGGTCGTAAAGTTTTCACGACGAAGGTCGAAGGTCGAGCCCGTTTTTAATTCGAGGTCAATGGTACTCGAGGGAGATTTAAAACTCGGCCGAACGATGGGTCTGTTGACCCCTAAGATTTTTTACTCAGGGTGGCTGAAATCGGACCACCCTGTCATTAGCATACAAAGGTCTTGGTTCGACCGAGAGAGGCCTGGACCGTGGTTAACGACAGTCATTACGCGAGCCTGCCAGCTCGTAAACTTTCCTTGCGGTTCTTTAAAATTCGTCCCTTCTCCACAATCGCACTTCCGCATTCACCTTGTCCATTTAACGTTTATTCGCGCGTTATCGCCCGAATGCCACTGTGCTACCCCCTTAACGCGCAATTGTACGATAGGCGAATGAGTCATTTCAAGACGAATAACCGATGAATCGATTCTTTGGAACGCTTTCAATTGGAAAATTTTTCTGCTTGGCTCTAATTCTTTTATGAATTTATTTCTTTTTTTTTTTTTTTTTTTTTTAGCATGGTAATATCGCGATGATAGGAATGCTTTGAATGTTTTTCCAATCGATATTTAATTTTTAACTCTGATTGGTAATGATTGAAATCGATAGATGGTGTTCAATGAAAGATGTTGAATATCCGGTATTGATTTTATTAGCGAAACTTTTAATTTCGATCCCCGAATTTTTTAATATTCCAATGCGTAATCAGATGGTATTGACAAGGATTCTTTCGCGTTTCTCCGAAACTTAAGAATATTTTTTTAATCATAGAAGAAGCGTAATTAAGTCAAAAGTAACTCGAAGGACGTGGTAGAATTAAATTACCTGTAGCGGAATTAAATTACGCGCAATCAAGTATATTAACAGGGATTCTTTCACGTTTTCCTGAAACTTAAGAACCACAGCACGACAAATACACAATTAAATAAAAAAAAAGAAAAAAAAGGTGACCCGAGGGACCATTTTACCATTATCTTCCAAAAAAGTAGAATTATAATCAAGATAATGATTAAATATTAAAAATACTTTCTAAAATTAGAAATCTCTCCGATTTATTAGAAATCTCTCGCGTTTATCGCGCGCCAGAAATTCGATAGGCAAAAAACATTATACATACACGTTTCATTATAAAATTTGAATGGCATCCAATCCACGAAGGTCTCGTTTCTCGGTTTCAAGAGACGCCAGCATCTTGGAAGAAGGAAGACGTCTTTTTTTCACTCTTCCTTGCCTTTTTTGTCCCGGCCCGGTGAAAAGGGTTACGAGCAAAAGGGAAACGAAAAGAGACGGAAACTTGGTAAGCTCGTAGAAAGAGGAAGAAGGGACGATCGCTGTTAAGACGTGTGGGAAACTGGCCTACGGTATGCAAATGGGCGGTCGGCGTGAAACGAGAAACGATAGAGGGGGATGCAGGGTGTGCTCGTTGCGCAAAAAAAAAAAAGAAAAAAAAAAAAAGAAAAATACCAACCTCCAGGTTGGCATTGTGCTCTTATAATGGACCAGTGGCACCGATCTTATGTAAATCGTTGGCTCTGATCAAAGACGTGCCAGTTTCCTTCTTCCTGCTCGCCTTCTGATCTTTCTGATGTATTCCATCGATTCCACGATGCACGACTTCTCGACTTAGTTTCCTTTATCCACCCCTCCCTGGAGCACCAGTAATTAGTCTTTACGAGCTTTTCATTTGGCCCTTACCCGAGTACTCGTTGTCTTAATAACGACGACGAGTGCTCGAGCCAAGGGTCTATTTTTACGATCCACGTTGGAATGACGCTGGAGGAACGGATACGATTAACAGGGATGAATATTTTTTCATACAAACGTTTATTGAATCAAAATGAAATTCGCCCCATTAAAATGTATATCTCGGGGGAAGGAGAAAGGGTGGTGTGTTTATATTTTTTAATGGTTAATGGGTTTCCTCCTTTAGATAGGCCAATTGGACGTCGATCTCCCCCAGATGTTGGCGAAGTTCCTCGAGCACTTCAATCTGAATTTGATCCACGTTCTCTGACGGACAATATTCGTCTTGACTGGATCTGTAAAAGAATATAATAATTTGATCGTTGCATCTTTTTCATTAAGATGTTGCATCGATAAGCGTTTAATTATTCGTGATCCTGAGTTTTCAAAGAATTAGGAAAAAAATTCAGAATTATTTACTGATAATTTCTATTTCGTTATTCGATTAAAATTAATTACGTTTTAAGATAAGAATCGATACAAAAGTAATGATATTATTAATGTATATTATGAGAGATAAACAAAATATTGTATATACAAAAAGAAATATTGAGAATAAAATTAAATAAATATCGAGGAATAATAATTAATAGGAATTGAATTGATCGAAGATTCGACGAAATAGATCTCTAGAAAGAAATTTATATTTTTCCATGGTAAATAGTTTATTCTTGCTCGTTAAATTCGCTTTCACTTTTTGTTTCTGTTTAATCGCCGTCTGGCAAACTGAAAGAGAACCTCGATGCCGTCCAGAGGCGACATCCGGCGGCGTTTCCGCGTCTTTCCCGGAAGTGAGGGGTGCTGGGGGTGGAGACCAAAGGGTCGTCGAGGGCTGCAAGTGGGATGAAATCGATTTTTTTTCTGCCACCGCCGGAAGTCCGAATACTATTTCCCTAATTTTATCACGAGATGGCGCCAAATCAACCATTTACGGATCATTCTATTATTTCCATCCACGTTTCCATTGCATAATTTCTGCTAGACGTTTTACGAGATAAATTAACGATTTTATCTTTTTGATTAAATATTTCTGCTTTTCTTTTTATTTTTTGCATAAACTAAATTGTAATATGCAAGAAAATCATATATGATTTTATTATCTTTACGAGATTTGAATTTAAAATGATTTTGAAATATCACGCGTGTTCAAAGTTCGAGTGAAATTATTTTAACAGAAAGAAAAGTAAATATTCTTTTATACAACGTATTAAATAAAAAATTATTTGATATGCAATCATTTTTTTTGAATTCCATTGCATATAAAATTGAATTTTTTAATATTCATACATACATGAATTGATATTTAAACTTATATAACGATGACATATTACATATTTAGACCAGTTATAAAAATATCGATAAAATTAATTATATCAACACAATCAATCGTTATACAAATTCGTATAAAAATTCTCTCATTATTTTAATATCCTAAACACATTTCCAATCATAATTAAATTTATAAAAATATCACAATTCACATTGATATTACACGTATCGCAAAGCTATAAATTTCAAAGAATTCGTCACTATTCGAGCACATCTCGAGTACAACCGTGGAAAGATTTCCTCTCTGGGCAGACGTGATCTCATTAGTATCGTCGCGTCTGCCGCGTATGTGTTTCATAAATCACAATTTCTCGTGGCGTGGCGTGGTGTTTATTACGAGAGCCGGGGAAAATTGAGAAACGGATTACCGTGTCTCGCCTTAATCATCCGGCCAACTAGAGCGTGGAACAGAGATAAAGGAATAATTAGCATCTGTCGCGGGACATCGAAGACAGAGACATCTGACAACGAGTGCCGAAAGGTCGGGATTTGATTTCGTACACCCCTTACGAGGCAACCCCTGGCCCACATGGAGGGGTGGGGCTTGATGGTAGCCGAACGTCCATGAACCCACCCTTCGCCCGGCCCAACCATACCACCCCTTACGATCCTCCCTTTTTCTCTATTCCCAGCCCTCCCAGCATCTTCTTCCACGCCATCTGCGACCCTGCCTCCGCTCTCTATCGAAGATAGAGGCGGACAGCCTTGGAATTCAATTTGACGAGCTTTAAAAACGTTTCGCGGCTGGATTTTTATCGACGGATATTTTTATTAGCATCCATTCCTTTCGAAGGGATGGTCTCTCCTTTATTTTCTTCTAAATTTCGTATAAAATATTTTGGACTGTCGTATCATGAGAGAGGATTTGAATTAAATTTTCGTATAATAATATTTTGTATTTTGCACGATCGATTGGATTAGAATTTTGGAAAATAATATTTTTTGTAAAAACGATACGATTCGTTACAATGTGCGAAAAAGTTTGGAAAAATATTATTCGTAATTTTGCGAATTTAAATTTCCATAAAAGAAAGATTTTGTATAAAGATTTTTTATTAGCATAGTTCGGAGTAAAAAATAATTTTTAAGTGAGATATATTAGATATATTACCTCGCAATCGTTACAATCGTGGGAGGAGCAGGCAAGGCAGCCAAAAAGGATCTAAACGTTCCGCTGATCAATCGATTGAGATCGTTCGGTTTAGTGACATGGTCTGGCAAATCTGTATCGTCTCTGGTGCATCCTGCATCGTGTATCATTTTCCAATCTATTTCCGATTGCTTGTAAACTCTGGTCAACTCTCGATAGATCAGTTCTACAGCCTCGTATCTGAAACAAAAAATAGTACAAGTTGATACCATTTTACAATAATAATTACTCATATCATTAAAGATAAAAATAATACACTCAATTTTCTTCTATTAGCATTATTCGAATGAAATTTATATATATATTTTTTTTTACTTTATTTCAAATAATTTTCTTTTGCTTTTTGCAATTTACACATATTCCGATCAATTCTTCATTATATTCATTACATCATTATCATTATCATAAAACAAAAATTAAAGAAATTGCAAATAAATTTATGTTTAAATTCAAAATAATTTAAGAAATTGCCAAATATTTATCGTCCTGTGTAACCAAATAGAATCAAAAATATGGGAACTCGTAAGAAAAAGTTGTGCCAAGATTCGACCAAGTTCGACCGAGTGACAAAATTCTAGAGTCCAGTGCAAGAGCAGGCTGGTAAATTTCGTTAACGCGTCGTAAATAATGAAGGCGAACGAGGAAAGGGAAAATGGGAAGAGAGAGAGAGAGAGAGAGAGGGAAAGGGCGGGCAATGGAAAGTTTATAATGCCAGGACGATAACACGTGGCTGCAAAAGTTGAGGCATTTCCCGAAGGCACGCGACGAAAGTTAACACGGCCACGAGACCAGTTTCCGGGTGGTCGTAATTTGTACTCCGCTTCCTCCCCGCCCCCTCGACCACTATCTCTTTTTCTCTAACTCTTTTATAACGGCCCTCTCCCTCTCTTATCTGATCATAAGTTTTCCTCGTTTTCTGCAGCTGCAATTCGTCCTACGGCCCGGGTCTACACGGCTACCGTTATCAAGGCTACCGAGATTTCACTCCAAGATTGCCGATATCTATGTTAGTGGATTACGATTTATTCGCGAAATCGCTCTTCCTTCATCGTTCCAGTCTTGCCATAATTTTTCGATTATCGTTAGAAATTCCTCATCGATTAAATTCTACCGATTTTTAGCGAATAAATTACGTTGAAAAATAAATTACATTCCTCTATTCGAATTCTCTTTTCATTCGTCTAAAAATCATAATTTTATTTCACAATGTAAATTTTTATATCGGTGTACTAAATTTCTATTTCCTTCTAGATAAAATAAAAAGAATTTAAACTTAGAATTAGATTTCTAAATTTCTGTTTCGTATCGTGGAATTATATATTGCACTTTCTATTATATTTGGAAAAAAAAAAGTTTCGTATCGGAAAGTTTTTGATACGAATCACGCGAGAGATCATTGTCGCGGCAAGAAATTCAAAAGTTCCAGGAACGCGGTGGACGTCCAAGAAGCGCGTAAGATAAAATCGGTCCCACGAAATTTCGGGGCGTCCAGGTATGGCAGATCAAACGTGAAACAATTACGGGTGCGTAGACGGACGATCGACAACGACGAACGTAATTGGGCCCCGAAAGTCTTTTCCCCCGGAGAGGACCAGCTGCGTGTCTAGAAGCGATGTGTGCCCCGTTTGCTAACGCGCTAACTGTTCATAAGAGAAGACCATCGCCCACTTTTTCCTCGCTGAATATTAATTATTCTCTCTCAGGAAAGTACACCTGCCCTCAACCCTACGCCGGACACAACCTACATACATAAGCCGCATACGTGTATCAACGCGGCTCATGATTCTTGCCGCAGATTATCCTAACAGTTGTGTAACGAAGTTGGTAACGATCGGCCTCTCGAGGCTATGAAACCGGTCCCTTACTTTCCGTGACCTGGTATCCGCAAAACTGATGGCAAGTAATTCAGTAATTTTTTATTATGAACGTCTATTTCTTTGATACGATTCTTCCACGATTGAAATTTGTTATATAGATATTTCGTAAATTTACGTTTAACATTTTCTTTTTTTTTTTTTGTGAAAACGTTGTTTCTCTCATTTTATATATCGAAAATCGAATATGGTTCGAATCGAGGGAGAGAATTTTTGATAAGAGGCTCTGCTTTTTAAGAAGAAATTTAATAATTAGTAATTTAGAAATTAATTGAATTTTCATAAATAATTTTCTCAGAAACAAAGGATTATCTTCTTTTAATTTATGTTACAATTTTCAATATATATATATATATTCAATATATAATCTTTAATGAACACATATCTTTGCAAAAAAAAAAAAAAGACAAAATTAAATTATCATACAATCAAACTACAAGTACCATTTAAAATTAAACTCACACTTTCTAAATCGACTCTCGTTGCGCTACAACGTAAACGATTCTTCCCTCCACATTCATTAATTTTTTTCCCTACATTCATATCTCGAAAAAGCAGATGCAGTTAAAGAGTGTCCTTCCAACGTTTTTTCACGCTTCCACCTCTATCTCTACGATTCATATTTTTCAACGTGTAACCGGTTCTCTTATTCCCTGTCACTATTTTCTTTTTTTTTTTCCTCTCTTTTTTTTTTTTTTTTTTTTCTCTCTCTCTCTCCTCTCCTTAACGCGAGTTCCCATCCCCCGAATTCGTTCGACACACGGACGACAGACGGAACATCGAGTGGAGCTTCGGTAACGCACAGGGTGAACGAAAGGCACAAAGGTCGGTGGAAAAGATGAAGAGGATAACGACGAGGAAGGAAGGGAGATACAGAAGCTGGTCCACGTCGAATGAGTTAACGGACAATGGCGGTCCACGTTGGAAAAAATAAAGGAGAAGGGAGAGTGGTGGGGGTCCCTCATTACGAGGGGCGCCCCCGGTGTATTTGTCGATAAGGGTGGGGGGAGGGGGGGGGAGAGACCTATATGCAAATGGTCGTCCCTCGGCCATGCGACGGCAAAGAAAAAAAAGTTTCCCTCTCTCTGTTTCGCCCTGGTTCACCTCTCCGTTTCCCTCTGATGCACGAATAATGCTCTCTCTTTCTCTCTCTCTTTCTACCGCCACTGTGTACCAAAGTGGAGAAAAAAAATGGGAGGGGAGAGGGTATAATGTATCGTAATCAGATGATCAATTATTAAGAGCGCGGCAAAAAAACAACGAGGGTTGACATACGACTGACAGGAGAGAAGCTGTATCCGGATATACCCGAAGGGGAGGGAGGCCCCCCTTTCTTCGTTCCTCTTCCTTCTTTCGATATCTTCTTTTTCCATTATCCGGTTTGGCAAACGTTTGGAAAACGTTGGTACGATTATAGCAGTAATCGATAACACGAATTTATTACATTGGGCTTGGAATTTTGATGCTGGATGTGACAAGGGGAAATTTGTTATTCTGTGACGAAAGAAATTAAATATTCGATTCGATAGAAAATTCTAAGGAAAGGGGCGATAAATCGAATGAATGTTTCATTTTAAAATTTGAAGTTGTTGGATACTTGTTAATCGTTTATTAATAATAAAAAAGCCGGGGGATCAACACGCACTTATTTCTGCATATGTAATAATAATGCGTTGCATTATTAATCGTTGGATGAAAATCGTTTGGGAAAAATTGAAAATATTGCTTGGAATAATGGTCGTGCGATGTTAAATAGATCGGGCAAGTAATGTTGCGTTTAAAGAACCAATACGTTATTTGCACACTGACACGCAGTGAGCATGTTAGATAAAAGATATAATGATAAATTGTTCCTGATAATAATACAATATATCTGATCAACAAGATGAATTATAGATTAGGTTAAAAAAAATTCGTTACACGCGTGCTTTTTAACGCGACATTCACTTACAGTTTTAATATCGTATTATAATTCACGCGAAATTATTTCACAAAAATCAATTATATATTACGTATAATAAATATATTATTTTTTTTAATAAATAAATCCGAATTAATTTCTGTTTCATCGACTAACTTTTAAATTTTATCCAAGGTATATCCAGAATTATTATTCCACCATCTGAATGGATATAAACGCAAATAACATTTGCCTGAGAAAATATAGAGGGAGGCACGTTAAGTAGAACTTTTCATGTTCCGGGATGGAAGATTGAACGCGATACGAAATTGTGCGCATGAACAAACACCGTTCACGGGGAAACCCGTCCAGGATATTGTTTAGATATGCATAATAAATGTATCGCTTTCTTCGGGTCTCTTGCATAACCGAGCAAACTTTCTAGGCATGTGCGTCGAGAACGTTAGGACAATAACCCCCGATATCGAGTTACCAATTTTTAATGGATGTGGATCTAGCTGCGATCATGCGTGTGATCGGAGGTAAAAGCTCATCGCGTGGATATTTAAAACACGTGTCCGTTATATTCAAAACTTTGCTTTGTAATTATAATATGTATGCACTTATTGAAAATGCAGACAATAGGGATGTATAAAAGGATACCAGAGAGAAGTTAAACAATTTTGATATACGCAAAAAAAAAAAGTAGGAAATTAAAAAATTGTTTAATTACAACGAAATACATGCACATCGATATAATTCTATTTAAAGAATATTTACGATTTTTATTTATGAGAATTTTATTTGAGAATAATAGAGAGATATAGAAAATTTTTATAATAATAGGTGGTGAGTTCATTGAAAATTATTTAAAACGATCTTGATAATACGTAGGTAGGGAAGCGTGAATGTATAATCTTTCGAATTATTGCTTGGCTTTTTGGATTAATAACGCGATTTCTGATATATACGATCATTTCCGAGTTAACCTCCGGGTTGTAGATCATCTTCCCAAATTTAATGAGATATTTGAGTAGATTATTCCCCTTAGCAATTTTCTACTATCATCTTTATTATACTAATCACAGTGATTCCGATAGAATATAAGATAATTATCGCCATCCCAAACGCGAGAAACCATTCTCGAATTCTCTCGAGATCGTGGTGAATAACAAATCACTCTATAATTTACGATCAACAATTTCGGAAATGCGATCTTTATACCAACCATTTAAGTCGTTATAACTTTCTAAATTATCGTGATCCTATTTTCCCCCTTTTGACACTTTTAACCCTTTTGAGAATAAATTTTTTTAGAGGCTGTGGACAAAATTCTTTCTTGCCAATTATTAACGATAGAAAGATACTTTTTTTTTGCGATATAAAGACACAATATTATAGATATT